GCCTGTCTTATTTCACTTAATGTAATGTCCTCTAGGTTCATCCATGTTACCACAAATGATGGGATTTTATTCTTTTCTATGGCTGAATAGTTTTCATTCTGTATACATACCACATTATTTTTATCCATTCATCTATTGATGGACACTTAGGTTGATTCCATATGTTGGCTTTGTAAATAATGCTTCATTAAACATGGGAGTGCAGATATCTCTTTGGCATATTGATTTCATTTCCTTTGGATATATACCTACTAGTGGGATTGCTGAATGTTAGCTTTATTTTTTATTTTTGGTGGAGCCTTCATATTGTTTTCCATAGTGACTGTACTAATTTACATTCCCATTAACAGTGTATAAGAGTATTCTTCTCTCCAAATCCACACCAGCATTTGTTATTATTTTTCTTTTTGGTAGTAGTCATTCTGATTAGAGTGAGATGATATCTCATTATGGTTTTGATTTGTATTACCCTGATAATTAGTGCTGTGGAACATTTAGAAATATCTATTTAGGTCTTTTGCCTGTTTTTAATTGGATTGTTTGTTTTTATTGCTATTGAGTTGTTTGAGTTTCTTATATATTCTGGATATTAACCCCTTACAAAATGCATAGTTTGAAAATATATTTTCTCATTCTGTAGGTTGTTTCTTCACTTTGTTTATTGTTTTATTGGCTGTGCAGGAGGTTTTTCTTTTTGATGTAATACCATTTGTCTATTTTTGGTTTTGTTGCCTGTGTTTTTGAGGTCTTATCCAAAAAAAATCCTTACCCAGACTAATGTCATGAAGCATTTTTCCAAGGTTTTCTTCTCATAGCTTTATAGTTTGGGGTTTTACATTTACATCTTTAATTTTCAGTTGATTTTGATATATGTTGATATAGGAATCTAGTTTTATCCTTCTGCATGTGGATATCAAGCTTTGCTGGCACTATTTATTGAAAAGATTGTCTTTCTCAAATTTGTGTTCTTGGCACTTTTGTTGAAAAGCAGTTGGCTGTAAGTGCATGAATTTGTGTGTTCTCTTTTCTGCTTGATCTGTGTGTCTGTTTTACACCAGTTTCATGCTGTTTTGGTTACTATGTCTTTGTAGTATATTTCAAAGTCAGGTAGTGTGATACCTCAAGTTTTGTTCTTTTTGTTCAAGTCACTTTGGCTATTTGGGGACTTTTATGGTTCCATGCCAATTCTAGAATTGTTTTTCTATTTCTGTGAGGAATATAATTTGTATTTTGATGGAGAATACATTTAATCTGTAGATCACTTTGTGTACTATGGAAATTATAATGCTACTAATTTTTCAAATCAATGAACATGGGATATCTTTCCATTTATTTGTGCCCTCTTTAATTTCTTTTATCAGTGTTTTATGGTTTTCCTATAGAGATATTTCAGTTTTTTGATTAAATTTATTCCTAGGTATCTTTTACAGATGAGATTGCTTTCTTAATTTCTTTTTCAAATAGTTCACTATTGATGTAAACAAACATTACTGATTTTTGTAGGTTGATTTTGTATCCTGCAACTTTTTCAAATTTGTTTATTAGCTCTAACAATGTTTTTGGTGCACTCTTTAGGGTTTTCTACATATAAAATCAAGTCATCTGCAAATGGAAATACTTTGACTTCCTCTTTTCCAGTGTGGATATCTTTTATTTTATTCTCTTGCCTTATTGTTCTGGCTAATACTTCCAGTACTATGTCAAATAAAAGTGGTAAAAGTGAGAATCTTTGTCTCATTCCAGATCTTAGAGAAAAAGCTTTCAACTTTTCTCTATTTAGTATGATGTTAGCTGTAGGCTTGTCATATACAACCTTTATTGTGTTGAGGTACTTTCCTTCTGGATGTAATTTGTTGACAGTTTTCATCAGGAAGGGATACTGAATTTTATCAATTATTTTTTCTCCATGAAAGTGATCTTATGGTTTTGGTCCTTGATTCTGTTAATTTGATGTATCATGTTGATTGATTTGCATGTGTTGAGCCATTTTGGTGTCTCTTGGATGAATCCCATTTTATTGTGGTGAATGATCTTTTAAACATGCTATTGAATTTAGTTTTCTACTATTTTGCTGAGGATTTCAGCATTTGTGTTAATCAGGGAGATTGGCCTGTAGTTTTTGTTGTTGTTGTATCCTTATCTGGTATTGATATGAAAGTAATGTTTGTCAAATAGAATGAGTTTGGAAGAATTTCCTCCCCTTTACTTTTTGGAATAGTTTGAAAAGGATTAGTAATTGTTCTTCTTTAAATATTTATTAGAATTCAGCAGTGAAGACATCAAGTTCTGGGCTTTTCCTTTTTATTACTGCTTTAATCTTATTGTTATTAGTTGGTTCAGATTTTCTCTTTCTTCATAGTTTAATTTTGGTAGTTTTTACATGCCCATGAATTCATCAATATCTTCTAGGTTTTCCACATTGTTGGCATATAGTTGTTCATAGTAGTCTTTTATGATCATTTGTATTTATAGGATATCACTTATAACGTCTCCTTTTTCATCTCTGATTTTACTGATTTGAGTCTTCTTTTTTTCTTAATTAATCTAGCTAATGATCTGTCAATTTTTATTTATCTTTGCAGAAAACCAACTCTTTGTTGGATTATTTTTTGATAAGCACCTGAATTTGGTTTGCTAGGATTTTGTTGAGAATTTTTACATCTATATTCATAAGGGATATTGGTCTACAGTTTTCTTTTTTTGTTGTGTCCTTTCCTGGTTTTTGATATCAGAGTGATGTTGGTGAGGATTCCTTCCTTCTCACAGTTGTGGAATAATTTCTGCAGGATAGGCACCAGTTCTTCTTTGTAGGTCTGGTAAAATTTGGGTGTGAAACCATCTGGTCTGTGACTTTTCTTTTTAGGAATGTTTTTTATTGCTGCTTCAATTTCAGCACTTGATATTGGTCTGATCAGGAATTGATCTTCCTAATTGAGACTAGGGAGGCTGTGTATTTCTAAGACTTTGTTCATTTCCTCCGTGTTTTCAAGTTTAATGAGCTTACAGGTTTTTATAGTATTCATCAATGGTATTTTGTATTTCTGTGGTATCAGTTTTAATTTCTCCTTTTTCATTCCTGATGGAGCTTATTAGAGTCCTTTCTTTTATGCTTCTATTAATCTAGCAAGAGACGTGCCAATTTTGTTTATTTTTTCAAAGAACCAACTAATCTTACATATAGAAACTTTTCAGAAGAAGGTAGACTAATGGCCAAAAAACATATGAAAAAATGCTCAAAATTTCTAACCATCAGAGAAATAAAAATAAAAACCACAGTGAGATATCATTTATCTCCAGTGGGAATAGCCTTTATCAAAAAGATCTCAAACAATAAATGTTGACGTCGCTACAGAGAAATAGGAACACTCATACACTGCTGGTGGGACTGCGAACTAGTAAAACCTCTGTGGAAAGTAATATGGAGATACTTCAAAGAGCTAAAAGTAGACCTCCCATTTTATCCAGCAATCCCATTACTGGTCATCTACCCAAAGGAACAAAAGACATTCTATTAAAAAGACATCTACACGTGAATGTTTAGGGCAGCACAATTGACAATTGCAAAGATGTGGAAACAACCCAAGTGCCCATCAATACATGAGTAGATTAAGAAAATATGGTATACATGTACCATGGAGTTCTACTCAGGCACAAAAAAAATGTTGATCTAGCACCTCTTATGTTATCCTGGATAGAGCTGGAACCCATTCTACTAAGTGAAGTATCACAAGAATGGAAAAACAAGCACCACATGTACTTACCATTAAGTTGGTATTAACTGATCAACACTTTAGTGCACATATAGTAATAACATTCATTGGATGTCAGTCACATGGGAGAGGGATAGAGGGGATGAGTATACACACACCTAACAGATGTGGTGTGCACCATCTGGGGGATGGACATGCTTGAAGCTCTGCCTTGGGTTCGGCAAAGGCAATATATGTAACCTAAACATTTGTACCTCCATAATATGCTGAAATAAAAAAAAATTGAATTCCCATTATGAGCTAATCACTGGGCTTGCTGTTCACAGTGTTAAGCAAAACATACAGGGTTCCTGTCTGTAGGAAATTTTCAGTCTCATTCATCATTAAATAGCTAAAATTTACCAAGTACTGACTATATATCTGGTATTATGCTAAGTCCTTTACTAAAAGGATCTCATTTAGTATTCACAGCTATCCCAATGAGCTAGGCACACTTACTATGTTCATTCTATTTAAGAGATAACTGAGGCATGGCAAGGTTAACGCTAACAACATAGGGAGCCAGGATTATAAGCTAGACTGACTTCAGAGCTCTTTCCCAATTCAAATCTACAATATGCAGCCATTATCCTGTTAGAACAGACCAACCTTACCTGGGAAATAGTATAACACTGAGGTATCAACAAGTATCTAGCTCCATAGAACTGCCTTCTAGAGTCAGGCATAGTCACCATCTGCTCTGGATTTCCAGAAGTTTCCAGAACTCCTGGTATATAGTATAGGGAGATTTCTTTCTGTGCCCCTCAGCAATCTGTCTAAAGCATATTGGCCAAATTTGTTCTTATTCCAGGATTTCCAGCTCCAGAATTTATTCCACTACCTATTTTCTATGTTTTTTAATCCTTTTCATTTCTAGTGTATAATAGCCTTGTTGTATTTGTTCTTAGTTTGTTCCTTTCGAAAAATAATTTTATGTTCTTCAGTTTTTTAGTGGTTTTTAAATGTTTGAACAGTTGTTATCTATAATATTTTTTACTTAATATTATTTAAATGTTTTACAATCTTAATTAAAATTTTAAAGATATTTTTACTTTCTACTTCTCCATTTTTCTGAGTTTACTCCATTTTCACTCTTTTCAACCACTTCCCTGACTTCACTTAGTTTTATTCTTTTGATAAAGTTGATGAATTAAGTGTTCAATTTTATGACTTTGTAAGGCTTTTAATATCAACTCTTGCATAAATAAGGAAAAAGGGCTTTGTGAAGTATGAGTCCCAGAAGATGCTTTGGGAGATGGTTTATAGTGAGCCAGTTCAGAACGTTGGGTCTGGAGGAAGGCAAACAGGTGGCAAGGCAAGCAAGGAAGTGGCAAAGGCCCCTGACTGAATTGTAGCTAGGAACCAAATTGCTGCTAGGAACTGTTCCCTGTGGGAACATACATAGTAAGGAGCCCCTAGTGACCTTTAACTAACCTGAGGCTTATTACCATGTAATTAGCTTCACATGGGTGAAGTTTTCATGAAGGATTCTGGGGAAGACACATGTGCAGAAAGGGAAACCATTACATAACCAACCTGTTATTTAATCTGTTATATAACCCCAACCTGTCAATCACCCAAAGGTGGGAAATGGCAGCCAATCCTGCCAGAAGAAAGGTGGGACAAACTAGTAAGCATATAAAAGACAAGGTGTGGTCAGACTTTGTGGAGACTGACCAGTTCCCCTCTCTCTGGAATGTATTTTCACTTTGTGTCATTTTTTTTTGTGGCTTCCTTCTTCACTTTCACTTTGTATAGCTTCTTTCTCTTTCCTGTAATAAACTGTGTGGGATTGTTCTGTATCTGTGATCAATCCATCATAGGCTTGACTTGGTACCAATACTCATTCTTGACAAGTGGGAACCAGAGCACCAAGGAACATCAAGGCAGACCTAATAAGAGGGCAGAGATTGATGTGAGCTGACTTGGGCAAGGCTTTGTTTACGAAGTAGAGTTGTGTGGAGCCCTGAGGGGGTGTGTCAGGAAGCTGGGCTCTAGACTCAGTTCTTTCACCAACTGCCTTTGCAATCTTTGGCAGATCTCTTCCCTGCTCTTCTCAGCAGTAATAGGAAGTGGCTGAAATAAATCATTTCCAAGTGGGTCTTTCTAGCTCTTGTATTGTGTGTGCTCTGTGATTAAGATATCAGTGGATTAATAGAACAAAGTCAGCGCATTTTGATGGAGCCATGTTAAAATGGTGTGTCCATTTATCAAAACATTGTTTTTTATAACTTAATAATGTCCACCAAAGAAATCCCTGATGTATCCTCTATGCTACACATAAGCCCTGCCCTGGCTCCATCAACATGGCTCTGGCATCAAAATGACAATGTCAAAATAGCATGAGCCTTTTGGAAAATGTCAAGGCTTGTAGGTCTATAGAACTGGGTTTGAATTCCAGGCTCAGTTGCTTACTTATCACTTAGCTATGTGCCCTTGGGAATGAAACTTTTAAGCCTTTGTTTCCTTATCTGTAATACTAAATTACAGTATGGACTCTAAAGATGTTGTTAGGTTAGAAATGAAATTTATGAAGAGCCAATGCATTCTTTATCATATATATATATATACATATATATATATATATATTAAGTAAAGTTTAAGGTAGTCTAATGTTCTCAGAAGAACTTCCTAAAATAGAAAATAATCTGTGTTTCACTAAAAAGATGTAAAATGATGTTTTACAGGTTGGGAGAATCTTGGGTTTCAGGTAAGCTGATGGCCTGATGGACTGGGAAGAGATCAAGATCTCAAGTGGGAAGAAAAAACAGAGATTAGATATTCAGACAGTCTGAATATGCACTGAACCACTGATCAGATGTAAAAAGAGTAGGGAATATTTATGAAAAGCAAGCTCCCATGTCTCATTGCTATATCCAGATCAGAACCCTGGGTTCTGAGTCAGAGCTGAACATCAGAATTTAGAAGTGTTATTTCTTACCAGGATCATGTACTACTATGATGTAGCAAAATTAGTCTTGAGCTCTGTGACATCTTGACTTTGTCTGGCTGAGAGGAGTCTCAGCAAGACTCATCTGTGGCTCTAAGTAGTGACCAAGTTGGCTAAAAGGCCCAAAGTTGAAGCATATGTTGCTCCAACAGGAAGTTTTGGAACACTTGATGAACTTCTTGAGAAATGAGATAATCTTGCAAAATTGGGCTGTCTGGTTGCTGAATCCAAAACAAACAAAGAGAGCACTGGGATATGTATGTGTGTGGGAGAGATAGTGGGTTAAAACTGGCTGGATGGTGATGATGATAATAATGATGACCATGATGATGGTGATGGTGATAATGATAAAGTCTGGAGAATCACAAGAAAGAATGCATTCAGGTTTAGGAAATTGTATTCCACATTCTGGCTTTCAATTTTGCTATAGTTCTCTACTCCTAGGAGAAAGTTTTACCTGGACAATTATCTCACTTTGAATTTTCATTATTTTGAAATAATAAGTGGTTGCCCGGGACACATTACAAGTTATTATAGATGTTCAGGATACTAAATCCAATATAAGACAGCTGTTCTGGATTGAGACTACTGTCTTATAGGGGTAAAAATCTATAGGCAGACTATGGTATAATCCACCATGGTGGGTGCCATTGCAGAGAACTGGAAACATGTTCTGTGGATCACGGAGGATGGATCAGCCAATTTTGCCTATGAAATTTTAAAAGAAAATTCTTCGAAAATTAGGAGAAAATCAAAATAACCCACTTAAAAGTGGGCAAAGGCTTGGACAGAAATTTTTCTAAAGAAGACAGAAGAAGCCACAAACATATGAAGAAATGCTCAACATCTCTAATCATCAGGGAAATGCAAATCAAAACCACAATGAATATCACTTAACCCAGTGAGAATGGCCATTATCAAAAATCTCCAAACAATAAATGCGGCGTGGTTGCGAGAGAAGGAACACTCCTACACTGCTGGTGGACTGCAAACTAGTTCAACCTCTGTGAAAGCATATGGAGATACCTTAAGCGATACAAGTGAATCTACCATTTGATCCAGCAATCCATTGCTGGGCATCTACCCAAATGATCCAGTGACACTCTACAAAAAGACACCTGCACTCGAATGTTATAGCAGCACAATTCATAATAAGGCTGTGGAAACAGCCCAAGTGCCCATCCATCCAAGAATGGATTAATAAATTGTGTATATGTATACCATGGAGTACTATTCAGCTCTAAAAAAATGGTGATATAGCACATCTTATATTTTCCTGGTTAGAGCTGGAACCATGCTACTAAGTGAAGTATCCAAGAATGGAAAACAAGCACCAGATATATTCTCCAGCAAAACTGGTATTAACTGAGTAGCACCTAAGTGGACACATAGGTGCTACAGTAATAGGGTATTGGGCATGGAGGGGGAGGGGGGCGGTATATACATACATAATGAGTGAGATGTGCACCATCTGGGGGATGGTCATGATGGAGACTCAGACTTTTGGGGGAGGGGGGAAAATGTATTTATTGAAACCTTAAAATCTGTACCCCATAATATGCCAAATAAAAATTAAAAAAAAAAATAAGGGCTGACAACTAGAATCTATATAGAACTCAGAAATCAGCAAGAAAAATCAAACAACCATCAAAAAGTGGCGCAAAGGACATGAACAGAAACTTTCAAGAAGATAGACTAACGGCCAACAAACATATGAAAAAATGCTCAACATCTCTAATCATCAGGGAAATGCAAATCAAAACCACAATGAGATATCACTAAAGGCCAGTGAGAATGGCCGTTATCAAAAAGTCCCAAAACAATAAATGTTGGCATGGATGTGGAGAGATAGGAACCTTCATACACTGCTGGTTGGACTACAAACTAGTACAACCTCTGTGGAAAGTAATACAAAGAGATACAAGTAGAACTACCATTTGATACAGCAACCCCATTACTGGGCATCTACCCAAAAGAACAAAAGATATTTATAAAAGATATTTGCACTAGAGTGTTTAGATCAGCACAATTCACAATTGCAAAGATGTGGGAACAACTCAAGTGCCCATCAATCCATGAGTGGATTAATCAAATATGCTATATGTATACCAGGGAGTTCTACTCAGCCACACAAAAAAAAACTGGTGATCTAGCACCTCTTGTATTATCCTGGATAGAGCTAGAGCCCATTTTATCAAGTGAAGTATCACAAGAATGGGAAAACAAGCACCACATGTACTCACCATCAAATTGGTATTAACTGATAAACACCTAAGTGCACATATAGTAATAACATTCATTGGGTTTGGGGCAGATGGGAGGTGGGAGGCAGGGACGGGTATACACACACCTAATGAGTGCAGTGTGCACCATCTGGGGGATGGACATGCTTGAAGCTCTGCCTCGGGTTCGGCAAAGGCAATATATGTAACCTAAACATTTGTACCCCTGTAATATGCTAAAATTAAAAAAAATAATAATTCCACTGTATTCAAAGAAGAAAGCTTGTGTAACTTGTTTCCTTTTAAATTTATTAAGACTTATTTTATGGCTCAGAAAAAAAAATAACATGGATGGAACTACAGATCATTATCCTAAGTGAAGTATCTCAGGAACAGAAAACCAAACACCAAATGTTCTCACTAATAAGTGGGAGCTAAATGATGGGTACCAACCAGCACAAAGAAATATAAAGGACATGGGAAACAAAAGTGGGGAGGGTGACAGGGGAAGTATAAAAACTTACCTATCGGGTACAATGAACAGTATTCTGGTAATGGACACACCAAAAGCCCTGACTTAAGCCTTCTTATACCAGGTATTTGTGCAATGAAAACATTTATACCTCCTTAATATTTTGAAATAAAGAAATTAATAAATAAAATAAAATTTATGGCATCCTATTAAAAATTAAAAGCAAAGGAAAACTGAACTTACCTAAACAGACCCATCTGGTTGGTTTACACTACTCATGCCCATTAAATGCAAAACGTGTGTAACTCCAGATGGCCCCAGCTCTCTGCTCCCTGGGTAAAGTAACCATAAACAAAACAAATCAGACAACTGACTTCCATGGTGGTTTTCATTTTCTGAGGCATTTAGTTGGCTTCCTGTTATTATTTCTCACGCTGTTAGTTTCAAGTAATAGCCCCTGGTATTTACTAAAGGGCATTGTTTAGTAGAAACAACCTGGGCTTTGAAGCGTTGGGTTCAAGATCTGGCTTCACTCCCCGGTTTGCAGGTTTGTGATCTTTCTATGCTACAGGCTACCCATCTACTAGATGATCACAGTGGTTCCTTACAGCAACGGGAGGGGGAAAAAGTCCTTTTCCTTCTACACTCCTAGCTTCTCTGGCTGGACCCTGTAAGATTAGGCCGACAAAAGGCAAACTGACAAGAGAAAAACAAACAGAAGTTTATTAGCATGTGCATTGCACATACGCAAGGGAATGCTCAATGTTCAAGAGGTGGTTAGCATTTGCGGTGTATATACCTAACTAGTAGGGGAAAGGGAGGGGGAGAAAGGTCACTTACGGAATAGAGGATGACCTTATGGAATGATAAGTGGGCCCTTAGGAGAATAGATTGGTTATGATTTGTGACAATGTCTTGTCTGGATGTGCTTCTAGAGAGAAGATTAGAGTTGCCCCCCTGGAAAGGAATTGATGACAACTGAGTTCTTTTGGTCGGCTCTGCTTGTAGACAGATAAGAGATTTCAGGAACTCAAAGACATTCAGCTTGAAATAATTCTTAGTCAAAGTGGCATATTTTGGGGGCAGGGAGAATATCCTGATTCCCTTCACAGCCCTAAAATAATAATTTTGTAATGTAATTCACTGGCTCCCTCAGATCAATCAATTTCTATATTGAAAATTCAGTCTGAGTGTTGAATATTCTAATTTTCTTTGTTGACAAATAGTGATGACCAGGTCGATGTCTGCACTTTTCTTTGCCTAGCTGCCATCTGCATGAAATGTTCACCTCCATCAGGATCTGTGAAAAGTTCTACTTCTGAAGAATGTGCACTTCAGTGCTTTGGATTTAGAGGGAGTAGGAACTTTGCTCTTCTCACTGACTTGAATCAAATTGTGTGCTGTGTTTTATTAAGGTGTGAAAGATGGATGCCAGTCACTTAATTTACCTCAGATGGTGCAGTCTAGCTTGTACCAGGAGATGAACTCTATTTGGAAGGCACAGGATTTTTCAGAAAATGATTTACCATCTGGAATCAGAAAGAGAAGAACTTATGAAGGAAGGCAAGGAATTTCCCTTTTGTCTTTATGGTATCCAAGTAAATGTTTAGCCAAACGACAAACGTGTTTACCACAAAACTACTAAGAGCCATTCACCTGCTTAGATGCTGGTCTCTTTGAGATAGAAAGTTTGTCCTAAAAAAGAATGAGGGCTGGTCTTGTCATGACTGAAACTGAAAAAAATCTCACCGTGTCTGGAAAAGGTGCTGCATCGTTGTTCTTATTGAGAGTTCTCTATGAAACATATTCTTGATTATTTCATTTAGACTATGAATAAGAATAATTAAACTAGCTACTAAAAATGAGAGGGTAATTGAACACAACCAAAAATATCCTTGTATTTGAGAATGTCCTTATTCTTCTCAGGAGAGATGAGGTGGTATATCTTGATGTCTGCAACTTGCATTCAAGCGGTTCAATTAAAAGATGTAAATTATACATTATACATGTGGTGTGTGTGTACATACATATTATATATGCATATATGTGTGAGAGTATGTATGTGTGTAGAGAGGAAGAGAAAAAGAGAGAGAGAGAAGGAGCAAATTGGTAAAGTGTTAACTTGCCAAATCTAGGGGGTGCTCATTTTATTTGTCTTTCAATTTTTCTGTATGTTTGAAAATTTTCAAGGTAAAAAATTCCATAATAATTTCAAACCAGTGTGCTAAATTTCCTGAGGGAGCTATGCAGAGTAAGGCTTAGAGAAAGGGCAAACTCAGTCTACAGTGGTAGAACTGTGGTCCCCAACCCCTGGGCCGTGGACCAAAACCAGTCCATAGCCTGTTAGGAACCAGGCCACACAGCAGGAAGTGAGCAGTAGGGGAGAGAGAAAAGCTTCATCTGTATTTACAACCACTCCCCATCACTTGCATCACCACCTGAGCTCCACTTGCCTGTCCATGGAAAAATTGTCTTCCCTGAAACTGGTCCCTGGTGCCAAAAAGGTTGGAGACCACAATGTAGAGGGATGAATTCAGGGAAAGCTTACCAGCAGACCTAACGCATGAGCTGAAACAATTTATTGGTGTTAACTCATTGGCTCCTCACAGAAACCCTTTTAAAGAAGGCACAAATAACACCCCCATTTCATAGATGAAGAAACAGAGACGGCCATAAGTGAAGTTGCTCAGGATCCCACTGGGGCAGCCAGGTGGCACAGTTCCCTGGGAGTCCATTCACAAAGTTGTGTTGTGCAGTGGCACAGGCTACCCAGCCAGTAAGAAGTGGATGTGGCCATGTCCTTAACCTCTGCAGGAAGGTCCAGGTGACTAGGACACAGAGTTTAAAGCCATAATGGGAAGGAATGAAATGAAAAGTCATAAAGGCTATGTCACAAAGGACATCTGTGCTGAGCCAAGTTGTTTGGCTTTATGCCGAAGACTATGAAAAGTTGTTGAATGATTTTAAGCAGATTTTTGTGTTAAAGAGAGATAACTCCTGTTCACAGGATGGGTTATAGGAGAGTGAGAATAGAAACAAGTAGATCCACTGGGAGACTGTTGCAGAGATTCAGGCAGGAAATAATAAAGACCCAAGCCAAGGCAATGGGGGTGAGAGTGGAGAAGACAGGGGGAAGGATATAAATAAGGAAGAATTGATAACACTTAGTGACCCAATGGCAATGGAGGACGAAGAATAAGCATCACTGAGGGAGACTATGGAGGTAGAACAACTGGAGGGAATGTTCATTTTTGAACATTTTCATTGCACATGCAGTTCTCCCACTAGTCTAGCAGTAGGGATTGGATCTCCTTTACTCAGCACCTGCAGTACCTTGTATATTTCCTAGCATAGGGAAGATGCTCAAAAAATAGTTGCTGAGTGTGCCGAGTATTTGAAGGAATGACTTAGAGAATCTCTTAGAGTCTCAGGATTGGAAGGAAATTTGAAGATCATCTGATAACTTCTTTGGGGCAGTTGGATTTCTTTTTCAATATTCTCCCTCACTCATCTCCCCCAGCACTCTCAGGTGATTACCTGGCACTGTTTGGGAATGGGGATTGTTTGTGATACCTCTGAACCAGGCATGCTAACTAGAAAGAAGCTGCCATAATCTTGCTTACATCTGCAATTCTCAGAATCTGGATCTTTGAAATGAGCAATGATATAGTAACAGGATTAATGGATCAACTAATTTAATGCACTCCCTTAGTTACAGACTTTGAACAGAACTAAATATATGCTGAGAACCATTCAGTAAAGAAATATGAAAGCTATTCACCTAGTAAGGAAAATGTTTCTTCTGAATTCTCTAAAATTGGGATTAAAAAGAAGGCTTTAGTGTACACCCATTAGAAGTTTCTTTCCAGCCAAAAAACAAGTCAAACTTTGGAGTAAGCTCTGAAATGGGCCAGGTTTACTGAGCTTTGGGATGAGTACTATAAAGTAAAAAGATGGGTAATGCTGAGCTCCCACCCACTGACCTTGACCACTGACCTTGACCATCCTCACAGGAGATAAATGGATAAATGGTACTAAGGGACTAAGTTGTTTACATCCTTTTGACATGTTCTGTCTCTTGAAATATAGGGGCAATAAGCTTAAAGGCAGGATATACTGCTTTAAAAACTCTTTGCTATTTTGGATACACACTGATGTATCTCTTATTTAATTAAACAATTTGGCATTCTACAGTATTTTCTTTATTGGCATATGCATACTCAGTTTCTGATAGGCTAGAAAGTAGAGTATTCTCAGAAGATCTGGCACAACTCTGGGGGAATTGTGTGCATACTTTTAATTGAATTCTCATTTTATTTTTAACTTCTGGAACAGATGATGTCTGGGTACCTAAATAACCATACTTTTCAATAAGTATTTGAAAATGAGTGGTTGACCGACTCCATCGGTCATCTGATCAGCATTTCTGTTACCTACTCTGTGCCCCTTGTCCTATTTTTGTTGAAAGCTAACTGTTGTGGTATTAGCACTTTAAAAGTTTTGGTGGACATCAATGATGGTTGGTCCTAAATTATAAATAGGTAAATTATAAACAGGTATAGGTATAGAATGTGATGATCAGGTCCAGAGAGAGGAAAAGTACATAAGGAGAGCAGTGCAATGAATGAGCACTTGTGTATGGCTGAGTAAGACTTCTGAGGCTACTAAATGAATTCAGTAGAGAAGAGCATCACCACCTATTAGAGATGTCATCAGGGAGATGACAGGAGGGAGCTCCAGAAGGAGCATCTTGTGTTATTTCCTGCTATGAAGTAAACGGAATATAGAGAGGAAGACAGAGAAAGTTCCAGACTCTGTAGAACAGGTGGAAAGAAGAACTAAGAGGGGTGAACTCAAAATTATTTCATTGGAACAATGGCCCCAATACCAAAGACAGCAGATGATAAAAAACCAGGATTCTCTTTTTTCTTTTCTGTTTTATTATTTTTTAAATTTTATTTTTAATTGACAGTAATAACTGTATATACCTATGGAATACAAGGTGACATTTGGATATACGTTAACAGTGTAGAATGATTAAATCTCAGGCTAATTAGCAAATTTATCATCTCACATACTTATGTTTTTTTGTGGGAAAACATTTAAAATCTGTTTTTGTAATTCTGAAATATGTGATGTGTTATTGTTTATTAGAGTTCACCCATTTCTGTGCAATAGATCACTAAAGATTATCCCTCTTGTCTGAGACTTTGAACCCTTTTACCAACATCTCCCCTCCCCTATCCACCCACCACCCTCAACCTATGGTAAACATCATTCTACTCTTTACTTCCTTGAGTTCAATATTTTTAGATTCCATATACAGTGAGATTGTGTGGTATTTGTCTTTCTGTGCCTGGCTTATTTCACTTAGCATAATGTTCTGCAAATTCATTCATGTCTTTGCAAATGACAGGATTTCCCACCTTTTTGAGGTTGAATAGTATTCCATTGTGTACATATACAACATTTTCTTTATCCATTCAACTGATGATGGACCCCTAAGTTGCATCCGTATCTTAGCTATTGTGAATAATGCTGTAATGAATATAAGAGTGGAGATTTCTCTTTCACATCCAAATGTCCACCTCCCACCCCCAAGAGCCTGCCAGCCCAGTACAAAGTCCCATTTATCAGTGCTACCTCCTACCCCAATTGGCCACCTTTACTACAACAACATTAAGGAGAAATAGAAAATTTTTTGAAACTTTTTTTTTTTTTTTTTAATTTTCAGTCAGAACAAATTCTCAGACAGAGCACCCTTCTCATTGACTCTATATACAAGGATGGCTTTTGGTATAAGATCTATCATACACACACTTTCCAGAGCAAATACAAAAAGGGCAGAGGATAAAGAGGATTTATTCTTCTAAATATACTTGTCTCTTATTTCTACTAACCTATGAAATAATGGAGGGAAATAATGGAGAAAAAAGGCTACTCTTATGTCAACCACAGCTGAATCCCCAGCTTCTGGTGCATAGTAGGCACTTGATCCATGTCTACTGCAAAGATAATGGTATGATTTTGATATGAACAACCAGGAAAGCCCACATGTATTCCAGTGCAACAGCCATATATATTGTCTTCCTTCCCCAATTCCTTTACAAAGAGGTAGCTCAGAACTACTTGGGCAACTCCTTTGAGAGTGGTTCCTCCCAATCTGTGTTGGTAGGGATTGCCACTGGGGTTCAAAGAGAGCCACAAAGCAAGGAAGACATCATTGCAACAGATCACTGATCCATAAGACATACTCAGAAACTATAGCCACCAAATTAACTCCCTATAACCAATACATTGAGATCCATAGTTGAGAAGCCAGTTCCAGGGCACAAGCAGGAGACATAAAGTCAATTAGCCAATTCAGGGCCAAGGATTCAAAGTTGAGATGTGGAGCCTAAGCAGAGTTCAAAGGTATTCAACGTACACTGAAGCCACCCAAAATTAATCTTAGTAAAACATTAATTAATTAGTCAAAAATTAATAAAAAATTAGTCAAACATTCAAAACATAATTCATCCATTCCCCTCTCAAAACCTTCCCCTCATCTTCATCAGCTTCTGTGCATCTGCCCATCTTAGTGGCACCTTCATACATTCAATTTCTTGCATGAGAATCCAGGAACCACTCTTAACTCCTCACTAAGTTCTATTGATTTTACCTATTAAATATTTCTAGAATGTCTCTTACTCTATACTTGCTAAATGTTTTTGGAATATGCTCTTTATTCTGAACTTGCTAAATGGTACCAGAATCTATTCCTTCCTCTATACTTATCTCTGTATTTGTGCCCTAGTTAAAGACAATTTTCTCTCATCTGGGTTATAGCAACACTTTCTAATTGGTCTCCCATCCTCCAGGCCTGCCCCTCCCATTTAGTCTTCCTTCTCTAGACAGAATGTCCTTTCTGATACACATGTTTTCTTCAGTCTCTTAAATAGAACCCAATCATATAGAGAATCAAATTCAATTAGCGTGACCTACAATGCCTAATGCTATGCTAACCTTGCCATCCCCCTCTCACATTCTCACACTTTATGCTCTAATAATGCTTAACAGTTTGTAGTTAACACATACACGTGGCTGTTTATGCTTCTGCAACTTTGCTCTTGGTCTTCCCACTGCCACCCTTCCCGCATTCTTCTTTTAAATATTTTTGTAGATTTAATTTTTATATTTACTAAAGTATTAAATGAACAGAATTTTAAAAATAAAACAGCAAACTTCTGTTTCTAGCAAAATGTTAAGCTCTGTATCCTAAAAAAAAAAACTGTGTAAAGAAAAACAACTAGAAATACAAAGTGGGCTGGGCGTGGTGGCTCACGCCTGTAATCCTAGCACTCTGGGAGGCCAAGGCGGGCGGATTGCTCAAGGTCAGGAGTTCGAAATCAGCCTGAGCAAGAGCGAGACCCCCGTCTCTACTATAAATAGAAAGAAATTAATCAGCCAACTAAGATATATAGCAAAAATTAGTCAGGCATGGTGGCACATGCCTGTAGTCCCAGCTACTCCGGAGGCTGAGGCAGCAGGATTGCTTGAGCCTGGGAGTTTGAAGTTGCTGTGAGCTAGGCTGACACCATGGCACTCACTCTAGTCTGGGCAACAAAGCGAGAGTCTGTCAAAAAAAAGAAAGAAAGAAAGAAAGAAAGAAAGAAAGAAAGAAAGAAAGAAAGAAAGAAAGAAAGAAAGAAAGAAAGAAAGAAAGAAATACAAAGTGAAAACTAGCATTTTTTTCTTTTACCATAAAAGTAAAATTTTCATTTCGACTGCATAACATTTAGGAATGTTAAACAATAAACAAAATA